CACACACACACACAGTAACACTGGCAGATTTACTTCAGTCTTTTTGTTCTGTGTTTTCTGTCCCCGGTCGACCTTTCAGCTCATTCTGTTGAAACTGATCTGAGCTCAGGATTTGACTTTGTTTCTTCACCTTTTTATTTTCCGACAGACGAGTTGTGTTTCAGGCTCTTCACACAGTCAGAAAAACAGCAACACTGTCTCATCACACAGTCAACATCACCTATATGCTGCTGTAAAACCTGTCAGTAACATCTGTCTGTAAAACCTGCTTCCCTGCTATTTTTTGGGAGGGGGGTTTCTTGTCTGGATCGAGGGTCTAAGGACAAAGGGGCTCATGTGTTGTGCAGATACACTACAGAACTGATTTGAAGACAGTTTCATTTGTTTTCATGAACTGACAACAGTTCTCAGACCTACTCACAGATCACTGCTCTTTATTGCAGCTCCCTCTCTTCCTCCTCCGTGAACATGATTCAAACCCTTCTCTCTTTCCTTCAGCCTCTCAATAGTCATCATGAAGACATGACTGCTCACATACATCAGGTTTTATTTGTTTTTATGTATTTTTCCTCTGTGCTGTTTATTTGTATGCGTTCCTCCAGATGCTCTACATTTTTATGCCTCCACAACGTCAGAGCCGGAGGCATATTGTTTTCGGATCGTCTGTCCGTCCATATGTCCATCTGTCCCATTATAGTGGACACGATGTCTGACAGTAATGTCCTGACAGAACTTTATCACATTTGACAGAAATGTCCACTTGGACTTAAGGATGAAGTAATAAGATTTTGGTGGTCAAAGGTCAAGGTCATGGTGACCTCACAATACACTTTATAGCCATGAGTCAAATATATATGACTCTGGATAAACAGGAATGTAATGTGAAACTATAGTCTGAATGCAGAGGCACACAACCGCGAGGTGATACTTCTAATTATTCGTGTATTATGCCTGTATTTTTATTTGATTGTAATCAACAAATAATCTCATAATTCGATTGCTCTGTGAATCACCTGTTGAATTTAAGTTCTCAGTAAATAATCTGACTCAACTAAATATATGTAACAATAAAATCATAACAACAGTGATAATGAAAATTTTGAGTTCAAGCTGAGCAGGAAGCAGATCAGCTGATGACCAGAAAAATAAAGGTTTCTCGTTCAGTGAGTCGGGTTTCCCATAAACTGTCACAGCAAGGAAATACAGCACAGACTGAACACACACAGTGACACAACACACACACACACACACACTCAGCAACACAAAACACACAACACAAATAGTAACACAGTAGACAGACAGTAACACAACACATCAATGATGACATCACATTTCATTTAAGGGTTAGGATCTCAACAACACATGTTTGAAGTGGATCTGATGAGCAGTGTCAGATTGGATAGACAGACAGAGATTCCTCTATTAATTAGTAGCATAATATAATATAGTATATAATGTTGATATTATATAATATTATTTAGAAAAACGAAAAAGAAGAAAACCCAAACCACAAAACAGAAACACAAAATAAAATCAATCAAACTGAAACAGGATATTTGATAAATCCTGATAACAGACTGATGAGAAATAATAATTGTAGAAATAAATCATTATACATTCGTCTGATTTTAATTTGTAGAGCCTACTGAAAACATTTAGACCAAAAAGAACCAAATCTGTGAGTTTAGACTCTGATAGTGTACATTATATATACATATAAACATATAGTCATATGTATGTTTATATGTCGATACTGTATATATGCTGCACAGTGGCTAAAGATGGCACTCAGACCCCTTCAGTTTTTGGGAAACTTTATTTTATTGTAGATTTAACTGTAAATGAATGGAATTTCCATGTTTGTCCATCAGTCAACAGTCAGTACCCATAATGACTGTTCCAGCCTCCTTAAACAAAGACTGAAATATGTAAAAGACGCCAAGACTTGAGCCGCCCAGTGGCATCTTGATCCAGTCCTGGTTCTGGGTCATGTTGAACCCTGCACGTGTGTGGTTCCCATCAGTCCATTTTGTTGATTTTAAAGTGGTCTGGAATGTGGTCAGTCTGGTTCACACCTCGTCCAATTAGGTTTGAGTGTTCAGAATGTGGTTTATTATCCACCCAGCGCACTATAATTAATAGGTTGACAAGAAAGCTCATTATTAAAACTAGGAAAAGGACTCCTGTGCATTATTTGATTTTAGTCATTTACAGGTCTGGATTAGTTAAATAAATATCAGTAAATATTTGTTTCATTGCCCCTGTTGTGTTTTCTAAAATATAAAATCATACAGTCAGTGTTTTACACAGCGTTTGGAACAGCAAAAATATTTACCACTGTATGAGAGAGTGAACTTAATGTCGTTTAAAACAAGAAAAGAAGTGCGTGCCGAGTGTACATGAACACCCCCTCTGTTACCCTGGAGGGTGAAGGTTTACAGTCACTTAAATTTACATGACAAAAATTGAATAACATTGTGTTGTTGCAGTTTGAATAAAATGAACTGGGGTTTGTGTTACAGTTTTTCACTATTGCAAAAACACAGTTCATGAAACCAGGGCCCTGTTTCTCAAAGCTCCACACACACACACACCAAAACCATATACACAAAATACAAAACATCTTACATCTCTTACAAAAGCAAACACTACATCGAAAACTATATAAACTCTTCTACAAATGATACTTTAGCTTCCAAACTTTACACACAAATATCAAATATATAGATCTTTCCACGGCCAGCAACACAGAACTGTGCTAAATCTGAAACAGTTTTCACATTTCTACTTTTCTAATGATATATGCTATATCATAGATAAGAGTATAAAAAAACTATTACCGTATGTTTCTGACGTTTCTCATTTGTAGCATGCTGTAAATATGAACACAAATGCAATGGGGAAACAAAACGTCTTTATCCTCAATAGTGAACTGAAGATGACATGAACATACTGTACTGTAAAATACAGCAGGCCTGTACAGTATTTCAGTTACTGTCTGTCCCGTCTCTGATCTCATCTGTAAGAATTGCCCTGTTTCCTCTGACCCGTCCTCTGTCTCCTCTGTCTCCTCTGTCTCCTCTGTCTCCTCTGTCTCCTCTTCCTCCTTCACCTCTTCATCTTTCTGGTCTGCATTTTTCTCCTCTTGCTCCTTCTCCTCTTTCTCCTCTTGTTCCTTCTCCTCCTCCTATTTCTCCTCTTGCTCTTCCTCCTCTTACTCAAACACCTCTTCCTCAATTTCTTTTTCCAAAATTGTCCTCCATTGTTGTGCACACAAGAGCAAACCTGACTTGTAATTATGGTGATCAAGCTGTGATTTCTGTGTGATCTGACTGTTTACATGTGTTTTCACATATGCATTCTGAGTTCAGGTGATTGCTAATTGAGCGTGGTGTTTCAGTGGCAGTGTTTAGCAATTAACACACAAAGGCTTTTAGTTATGAATGATGTGTGATGAGAAGTGTGTTTTGCAAAACACTGTGTGTAGTATTTTTGCAAAATGTGTAAGGTCGAGAATGTGCGTATAGTTGTGCCAGGCTGACATTTTGCGTATGTACCTTGTGTATCAAGTTTCAAAATCTGTGTATTATTTTTAATTTTAGTGTGTAAGCAATCCTAAAAAACTGTAACTGATACAACAGTACCTGCCACAATCTACGGGCAATTATTTGTTAACATACAGTGATAGTCAGAGTGTAAATACACGTTAACAGTAACAATTTGAAAACACGTTATTTACATAAACATTTGTGTGTACATATGTGTGAACCTGTGGAAACTCTTTGCCAACTCCAGGTCTTTACTTTCAACTCTTTAATCACAGATGTGACAAACTGTGTGTGATGATGAGGAAGAGGAAACACTGTGAGAGCGTACAATTATTTATCACAATTATTTCTGACACAATTGGAATTTGAGGGTGTGTGTATCATCAGTAACACGTTAGGTAACATATTACTGACGTGTTCTTAAGTTCATGATCACGTGTTCTGTATGAATAGATTCCTTCTCATCACCTTTTTGTGTTTCTGGGACTTGTTGTCCAACCAGTTCTTCATACCACACATGGCACACACACACACACACATGCACACCATACACACGCACACACACACGCGCACACACATACTTAGAGAGGTAAACTCCACTCCTGTATGATCAGTTTACAGGCAGACTGCTCAAGTTTCCCTAGTGGTTTTCACAGAAATGCTCAAAAAGATTCACTGGAACAACATCTGGTATAAATCTGATATATTCTTGTATGAATCCGGTATATAAAGTTAATTTTGTCTTACAGTAATCATGTATGATATATTGTAACATACATGAAACGTAATATGTTCAGCTCCACTTCGTCCTGCTAAAATGCTCCCTACATGTTGATGAATTGTTAATAACAATTAATAATAATAGGCAACTGTAGCATTTTGCTGATAATAGTTTTGAATTTTAATTCATTTTGAATGGTGCATGTAATGCTGAAGGAAACTGAAAATGAAACTCATTTGATGTCTTTACTTTTAATCCTTCTTACTTCATTTTAGACAGTTTATCAAAATCAAATTTGTTCATTTTTCTTTAGTGGATGTTGTATCTTTAATCTCATTTTAACTGGATATTGTGTTTGCTCTCTTGCTGTTGTGTGACACTTGTCTTTGTGAGTTTCCAGCTTCTCCCAGATGTTGATCTAGCCTTAGCCTAAATCCAGATTAAATCTGATTTAATTATGGTTCTCAATCTGGATTGAACTCAGTGTAAATCTGGTCTAAACCCTGAGTGAATCTGGTCTGAATAATGTGATGAGTAGACATAAGAGGAACTGCTGTTTCTCATCATTTTGCCTTCACCTGAAACTAATTTAATCAGTTAAAGTGATCAAACAGTGCTAATGTGTGTGTAAACAGATGGGTGATCAGAGGGAGAAGGAGGAGGAGGAAGAGGAGGAGTAGAAGGAGGAGCTAAGTATAAATGCTGCTGCTCCCTTCAGTCGAGTTCAGAAACTCAACAATCTCTTAAGTTTTATTGTATTAAGTTTGTTTCCTGTTGACCTGCTGAACAACAACAACATGCTCCAACGGTGAGTTCACAGTCAATGATTCACTTTGTTCAACTGTCTGAGTCTCACTGAGATTTTATTTCAAATGACTGAGGTAAGAACATTTCTTCTACGTCACAGCTGCAGGTCGACAACTCTCTGCTCACTGTCACATTATCACTAATTACTGTAATCAGGTAATTAACCAAGGTTTGAACATTCTGTACTGTGAAGACCTGATGTTTTTAAGTCACATACTTCCAGAGAAAAGATCTGTTTTTTTTCTCATGTGATTCAGAATTAGACTTTATGATCAACACATGATGAACTGACTTATTAATTTAAACAACATGAAACTATATGTCTTTGATAACTGAAGTGAGACTGATGATGTTTCCTTTGAATCCAGGACTGACATGAGTATGCAGGTTTATTTGTTGGCTTGTCTCTGTGTGTCTGGTCTGAATAAATCCTGCAGAAGGACTCCAGTGTTTCAGGATAAAGCAGCAGTCTTCTCTGGTTTTTCACCCGACACTCGACTCTCATTATGAACCTTAAAGCTTTTCAGTCTCTGTGAGGATCTGAGCCGCTTTTCTCTCGCAGCTCATTTCTCTCTATACGTTGGAAAAGAACAGACGCTTTGTTTTTTTTTCTGTGGCGGAAACACAAAGAAACAGTCATTTAACCCTTAAGGCTGAAGACTGGTTTCACCCACCTGCCACTCAACACACCTGACATCCATCACTACCTTTGTCACTTTATTCTTTTGTTCACGTTCTCACATTCTTGTCTTTATCTGACATATTTGACATTCATTTTCTATTTTTATTCTTTATTTTACATTCTTTATTTTTTTTCTTTGTTTTTTATTCTTTACATTTTCATTTTCTGTTCTTTCATTTACATTCTTTACTGTTCTTCTGTTTATGTTCCTTGTGGGTTCTCTATGTTCTTTATGGTATATTCTTTACATTGGTCACTTTAGTTCTGTTGTCGAAGAGAGAAAACTTTGACTCACTGTCTGTGGTGGTGTTTGTTTACACAATGGATGTTTACTTTGAATTTAATATTTATATTTTGTGGTGTGTGCTATCAGTTTACACTGAGGAGATTTTTAAATCTTTGTCAAAAGTTTTGTCCTCCTCAATTCCTGTATGACATCATGCAAAACACCATGCAAACAAGCTGCAGTCAAATCAACTCATTCAATTTGAATTTAAAACTAATGTGTGCGCACGTGTGCGCGTGTGTGTGTGTGTGTGTTACAGGTGTGCAGTGTTGCTGCTTGTGGCACTTGCTGCTGTTTCTCTGGCAGCTCCAGTCCCAGGTAAGCAGGAAATCAGAAGTGATCAATAACAGAAGAACTCTTCACACACCTGTTTAGTGACGTAGATGTGTAGGAGCACTCTGTCAAATATGTAACCAATCCCCTCGTCCCACATAAATACACGTGGAATGTATTGATTGGTCATCGGTTCCCAGCCCCTCCAATTTAAGATGGCTCCTCATTGTTGATAACCTTCATCATGATGAAGGTCCAGTGCTGAAACTATGCAAATAAATTATTTATTACATGTCAGTCTGTTTGTGGGATTTTTTAATTGCTACTAAAGATTTATGGTAAAAATATCATCATTGTTAACTTAAAATCAGTTATAGATCATTATGATTTCTTTATTGTCTGTTGGCAATCACAATCAATCACTAATGTATGATTTATTGAGTCTTATGTATGCAGGTGTGCAGAGGTTTTATTGAACAGTGTTACTCAGATGTTATGACATAAACTTGAATTCATAACAGCTATAAAACAGAAATTTAAAATGATAAAGTTAGTAAATGATGAGTGAGGACCTCCGGATCTGACCTCTTTTTGTAAAACGTTTGGTAAGATGAAGTGTATCTTATCAATTTATTACTACTGATTATATTTTATTAATCACATCATAAGGTTAGAAATGATTACCTGGTTACCTGAAGAATAATTAATAATTGCCATGTGTATATTTATTTGAATTGACTATACATTTACAATAAATAAAACTATAACGAGGAAGCTTCTATATATCTGTTAACTTGGTTCATGTAAACTTGTGAATAATAGAGAACTTTTTAAGGCTCACGTTATAATTATCTTTAGAATGTCGTGACTGCAGCAGTTTGAATATCAATACATCAATAACTAATCTAACATTATTGACACGAGCACACACACCCGCAGGTTGGTGATATTGCAGTCATGTGACTGAGGTTGACCACTCAGTTCAATGAATGTTAGTCAACATCATCTGATGTTGTCATGTTTAGATCATTCATTCAATCAAGTATCACATCAATCTTCCTCTGGGGGAGACGATGTAGACGCGATGATGTAGAGATGAAACGATGTAGAGACGAAGCGATGTCAAGACAAAATGATGTAGAGACAAAACAATGTAAAGACGATGTAGAGATGATGTAAAAACAATATAGAGATGATGCAGGGACAAGATGATGTAGAGACGAAACGATGTAGAGATGAAATGATGTAAAGACGATGTAGAAACGATGTAGAGACGAGACGATGTAGAGACGATGTAGAGACGAGACGATGTAGAGACGATGTAGAGACGAGACGATGATATAGAGATGATGTAGAGACGATGTAGAGACGATGTAGAGACGAGACGGTGATATAGAGATGATGTAGAGACGATGTAGAGACGAGACGGTGTAGAGACGATGTAGAGACGAGATGATGATATAGAGACGATGTAGAGACGAGACGATGATATAGAGACGATGTAGAGACGAGACGATGATATAGAGACGATGTAGAGACGAGACGATGATATAGAGACGATGTAGAGACGAGACGATGATATAGAGACGATGTAGAGACGAGACGATGATATAGAGACGATGTAGAGACGAGACGATGATATAGAGACGATGTAGAGACGAGACGATGATATAGAGACGATGTAGAGACGAGACGATGATATAGAGACGATGTAGAGACGAGACGATGATATAGAGACGATGTAGAGACGAGACGATGATATAGAGACGATGTAGAGACGAGACGATGATATAGAGACGATGTAGAGACGAGACGATGATATAGAGACGATGTAGAGACGAGACGATGATATAGAGACGATGTAGAGACGAGACGATGATATAGAGACGATGTAGAGACGAGACGATGATATAGAGACGATGTAGAGACGAGACGATGATATAGAGACGATGTAGAGACGAGACGATGATATAGAGACGATGTAGAGACGAGACGATGATATAGAGATGATGTAGAGACGAGACGATGTAGAGACGGTGTGGAGACGAGACGGTGTAGAAACGAGACGATGATATAGAGATGATATAGAGACGATGTAGATACGAGACGATGTAGAGACAATTTCTGACTCTGTGATCTTGTGTTTTCTTGTGTTACAGAGGGAACAACAGATGAAGGTAAATATCAACTTTAAATTTCTTAGTAAATTAACCTTTAAGTTGCATAAACAACAGCAGCCAATCAGAGCGCAGCAGATTTAGTAGGTGAGACTTACAGTATACAGTGTTCATAGCGTCCTCTAGAGGCTGCAGTTGTCATCCCAGATGCGGTTCACTGTTGATTTAGTGTCAGTCTCTGAAAATGAACTGTGAGAAAAACGTTTGTGTTTACTGTTCTGATTCAGACAGAAGTGCACCACTGCTGGCTCACCTTAATGGTAACACACACACACACACACACACACACACATACTAATACAGAAACACACAAAAAAACTGACCAACATTAATATACAGACACTCAAACTTAAACAAACACATAAACACATACACACGTAAACACACACATACTGATTGCTCAGGTTCAAGCAACTTTTTGATTTATTATTAGTGCTACGGGTGCTCAGCTCCGAGGCACTCCTCTACAGCTAGAATAGCATCTATTAATATTCCTATATGCCAAATTTTGGCGCGTAACTCGTCCCGCAGCTTTGAGAAAACCCTGGTAATATATACATCAAAACGTGCGTCTTGATCCCGAAAGAGGTGCTATGACTTTTGGTGTTAAAATTCCAATTTTTCCCAAAGTTATTCCCAAAATACTGGGAATAATAATGCATTAGGAATGCATTGGAGTATTCATTAAAAACCCACAAAATTTCAGCTTTTTTCTACAAAATTTCACCTTTTTTCTGAGTCACCCAGCTCTCTCATACCTGCACGTAGAAATGTGATTCAAACGGTGGAAAACTTCTGCTCTCTCCAAAACACAACAACTGTTTTTACATAACATGTAAACTTTTCAAACTATGAGCACTCAAAGGAGGAGTGCAAATCACTTTTTCTTCAAAGTTAGAGTGACAGCGTCAGTTGGCTAGAGTGCGTGAAGCAGTAAAAAATAATTATAATTTCTGCAAGAAAGTGTCTTTTTTGACATATTTTTAAAATCTAATGTCAGTTACTGTTACAGGTCTATTATACACTGGTAACACATTTTGTACCGTCTGGGGTTCCTCGCGTCCAAAAAAGGACACACAAAGAAAATGCTATAAAATCATCATATATCAATATTTTTTTCTGCTTTTTTTTGCATACATCTCTTAAACCACTTCAGTTCTGCTCAAACCTACCAAATGTTTATTAGTTTTCAGGATTTTAACCCTTTAAATGCCGGTTTGAAGACATGTTGCCTCTTGTTTTATTAAAAAAAACAACACAGAATATGAGATATTTCCCACATAATACATGACGGGGGGATGTGACATTGTTATATATCAGAGTCTTTTATATCAAGACATTTCTCAAAACCAGAATATGATCAGGGTGGCTTTTGAACACTGGAAATAAGTAATGTACTCATCCCGGCAGTAGCCCCCGTGGCACTCAAAATTTCCCTGGAATTTTCTAGTTATTATTATTATTATTAGTAGTAGTAGTAGTAGTAGTAGTAGTAGTAGTAGTAGTAGTAGTAGTAGTAGTAGTAGTAGTAATTATTCACTTCTGTTTTGGCTCAAATTGCTGTGAGTTGGAATGAGCTAGAAAGAATTTGGCTCAGTAACTGGACATGATGTGCATGAGCCCAATCGAACAGATGGTGGCGCTGTAGTTAAGACTCCTCTCCTGAACACACACACACAGTTTTGTTCAAACTGGGGAACTAGTGGCAGAACGTTGTAGTGATGAAACGAGTGTGTCAGTCCTTGAGTGAAAACACCTGAGTGACTGTGCTCTGAGCCAACTGAGCTGCTTCATTCTGTTTGGAATCAGAGTCACACAGTTACATTTAATTTGTCATAACTGTTGTAGGAGGAACTACAGGTGAACCTGTGACTGTAAAGCCAGGTAACAACACTACACACACTGTATACACACTGTTTACACATTATACACACAACACACTAAATGCACACATTTATTTGTCTACACAGATCCTACTGACAGCCTCGACTCTGTTGAACAAACTGAAGGTAACTTATCTATGTACTCACCTGTCTGTCTGTGACCTGTCTGTTATCTGTCTGTCTGTTACCTGTATGTTACCTGTCTGTCTGTTACCTGTATATTACCTGTCTGTCTGTTACCTGTATGTTAAACCTGTCTGTCTGTTACCTGTATGTTACCTGTCTGTCTGTTACCTGTATGTTACCTGTCTGTCTGTTACCTGTATGTTACCTGTCTGTCTGTTACCTGCCCTTTACCTGTCTATTGACCTATCTGTTACCTGTCTGTTACCTGTCTGTCTGTTACCTGTATGTTACCTGTCTGTTACCTGTCTGTCTGTTACCTGCCCTTTACCTGTCTATTGACCTGTCTGTTACCTGTCTGTGTGTTTCAGCTCCCTCACAATCAGATGAGACAACTGAATCACCAGGTTAGTGTTTGATGTGGTTAATTCAGTAAATGTGAATTTAATTATAATCCAGTTTAAACTGAACAAGCACCAAATTCTCATTTCTATCTTTTCATTTAAGACTTCACAACAGAGGAAACAGACAACAATAGTGGTGAGAAGAACATTTCAGTCTTTGGTATCCAGACTCTGACACAGACCATACATGGACGGGTTACTGACCTGGCCAATTAAGGAAAGGCCCAGGGCCCAAGCAGTCAGGGGCCTTCTCGGCCCCAAGACTCAGAACCTCCACATAGAGACTCACAATCTCCACATAGAGACTTAGAACCTCCACATATAGACTCACAACCTCCACATATAAACTCACAACCTCCACATAGAGACTCACAACCTCCACATATAGACTCAGAACCTCCACATATAGACTCACAACCTCCACATAGAGACTCAGAACCTCCACATAGAGACTCACAACCTCCACATAGAGACTCACAACCTCCACATATAGACTTTCTCAGCTTCTATACTGTTGCTTTTGTTACTACTGCACATTTGGCATGATGTGCGTGACACATCATCATCATTATTGCATCACTATACATTTATTTATTGCCACAGATGATTCTGACAGCATCGACTCTGCTGAAGAGACTGAAGGTAAACTGTCTGTCTGTTTCTGCCTGCCTTTCTGCCTGCCTGCCTGCCTGCCTGCCTGTCTGTCTGTCTGTCTGTCTGTCTGTCTGTCTGTCTGTCTGTCTGTCTGTCTGTCTGTCTGTCTGTCTGTCTGTCTGTCTGTCTGTCTGTCTGTCTGTCTGTCTGTCTGTCTGTCTGTCTGTCTGTCTGTCTGTCTGTCTGTCTGTCTGTCTGTCTGTCTGTCTGTCTGTCTGTCTGTCTGTTGGTCTGTCTGGTGTCCAGATTTCCTTCTTCCTTTTTTGTCTTGCCCTTTTTTGTTTAATGTTAATGATGTCACAGCTTATTTCACCTGTACTTAAAACAAACAGCAGAGTGAGACTGGGAGGAAACAAACTCCAAACCCAAGAGAGAATGAGGAAGTTAAACTCCTTAAACATACAAGGAAACATGTTTCTGTTCAGTGCTGGGCTGAAGGTGTAGAATGTAGAATGTTTGAGTTTCATAGATTGACAGCCTGATATGTTAAAGTAATTTACTTCCTTTGATTCTGGTAACTGTCACTCCATTTTCTGGGAGAATAACTACAGGAAACAGTCAGTCAGTATACACTATACAGTAAAAGTGTTTACCCGTCATACATTTACAAAGTGATGAACAAAAGGTGAGAGGAGTCAGAAGAAAACATGATTGTTCCAGTGATGTAAGGCAGTAAGAGAACCAACAGCTTGATCTGTCATGGTGATGTGAACATTATGTAATAGGCCGTGATTGTTCTGTGTCAGGGTCATGTGACTGTGTGTCAGGGTCATGTGACTGGTGATATTTCATGTTGTCAAACTTCTGCAATAATTTCTAATTGAAGTTAGAAATTATTGCATGAGCTACTGCATCACTCTCATTAAATTGCTGTTGTGTCTCTGCAGAAGTAAACACGAAGGAGTCTGACGCAGAGCTCATTAAAACTGGTAAACACACTAAATATCCATCCAGCTGAGAACAAGGACAATCAGAAGAGAACAGAGGAAACAGAACACTGTTCTCATTAGTACACAGTGACATCACAAGTTCAACAGTCAGAGAAACAGATTTATTTTCCAGAAAAACTGAATCATGAAACATTGATCTGATACTAATGAGCCAAAAACACAGAGACAGAATATACTCATAGTACTACTACCTATACTACAACTACTACTACTGATACCACAACTACTTCTACTGATACTACAACTACCACTACTCTTACTACTGTAATCGCAGTTGCTACTCCTAATACTACTAACACTATTGTTACTGCCATGGCTTGTGCTACTACACAATACAACACAAACAACTCAAGTACACAACGCTGAATCATATGTCAGGTATCATGTAACGTTGTTTCATGTGTAAACAGACATAATGTATGTGTTATGACATCATAGAATATCCGACACACATCACAATACATTCTTAGACATTATGTTGATTTGTTTCCACAGTTACTACTAATGATGTCAACTCTGCCGAACCATCACAAGGTAATCTGTCAGTTCACCTGTCTGTCTGTTGGTCTGTCTGTTCACCTGTCTCAAAAAACAGCAGAGTGAGACTAAGAGGAAACAAACTCAGACCAAACCCCAGAAAGAATGAGGAAGGTCATTCACAAAACATGTTTCTGCTTCTCTGTTTCAGCTCCTTTGGATTCAGTTGAGACAACTGACGCACAAGGTCAGTGTTTGTTGTTTAAATCTGATGTGTTTGAAATCAAAGACATACATCTAGAATACTTACATCTCTCTAATGATAACATTATGAGGAGAACAGCGAGAGAACCTGCAGTCCCTCTTCAGTTTATTACCTTTCAGCCCTCAAAATGAACTCAGAGCGATCAGTCAACATTTTTTTTACATATGTGAACAGTCCACATGAATTACCCCTCTGAAGTGAACCAAACTAAGACCAGGTGGTTTAAGTTCAGTCCAAAGCAGTATTAACCCTTTAATAATAAATAAAATGGCCTTCCAGAACCAGTTGTTCACGAGAGTCAGCCAAAGGTCGTAGTGTTTTCACCCTGATGATTTGATCAAACACATGCATGTTTGTCTTTGGTACAGTGTGTATGAAATTTACATTATCTTATAGCCAGTCATATGCAAAATATATCTTGCATCAATCATCCTGTGATTCAGCGCAGTAATTGGCTCATTGACACAAGCCTCTGTGATCAATACCTTAGACCTACCTGGATAAAGACTGGGCCACAGACTCACCATGATAACAAATAATAACAGATACCTGTGCAATATCTTTAATCCTCAGAAACTGAGGACACTGCAGCCGAGGTAGAGACTGACAGCACCACCACTGGTGAAGACAGTGATGTTGACTCAACTGAAAACTCAAACGCTGATACTGAGGTTGAAACTGACAGTGACACTGACAGTGATACTGACACAGAGGTTGAGGATGAGGATGAGCCTGAGGTGACCCCAGTAGACCAGGAAGATAACAAGAGCCTTGACGTCAGCGTTAGTACAGAGGAGTTAGAGGAAGGGGAGGAGGTGAGTGAGAGGCCAACAGAGGAGGAGGGAGATGAAACAGAAGATACTGATGTGTCAGAGGAGGGAGAAGCAGCGGAGGAAGAGCAGGAGGCAGACAAAGGGATTGATGACAGCATGTCCGAGGACGATGAGGGCAGTGACGCCCTGAGTGAAGCTGACAGTGACGATGACGACAGTGAAGCAGACAGCAACACTGACAGTGACGGTAGTGACGTCGACAGCAACACTGACAGTGACGGTAGTGACATAGACAGCAACACTGACAGTGAGGCTGACGGTGACGATGACGGTAGTGACGTAGACAGCAACACTGACAGTGAGGCTGACGATGACGATGACGATAGGGACGTAGACAGCAACGCTGACAGTGACGCTGACGATGACGATAGGGACGTAGACAGCAACACTGACAGTGACGCTGACGGTGAAGCTGACAGTAGTGACGTAGACATTAACACTGACAGTGGCAGTGAGTCCAACAATCAGAACAGCAGTGACATGGTGGAATCTGATGTTACTGAGGAAGAGGAGGAGGAGGAGGTGAATGAGGACAATTCTTCAAAGTTGGATACTGAGGACCCAGAAACTTCAGACTCCACTGAAGGTAAACTGCAACTGATGATGGACAGAATACCAGCATTGATCAAGAAAGATGTCAGACTTCATGAATTCTTTGTTATTATAAAGTATTCAGGAATCAGTTTCATTTCAGTTTGAAGAATCCAAACACAATGAAATGTTTGTCTCAATAACCAAGCTGAGGAATGTTCATGTTGTTTCTCGTTGCAGCAACATCTGCTGACCAACCAGACCAACCTGATGACTCCACGCCCGCCACCACAGAGGGTAAAGGTCACACGCTACTGTGACATCACACTGTCTCTCAGCCAATCACAGTTCAGTTTAGTTGAAGCTTTCAGAAACAAATTCAGCATTACAGTATTTCAGTTTAATTCTGTGTCAATCGATGGTCGAAATTTAGATGCAGGACTGGATTCAGTGAAATCCACCAAACCCCAGCAGCTAAAGAGCTTGTTTAATGGATGAGACTGAAGCATGCTGTTGTAGAGGGGCAATCATTCTGCAGTTTATTTCCTCTTTTATGAACCAGAATAACTTTTTAAATCTCTGTTTTCTCCCTTAGCTTTGGTTTAGACGCTCAGCATCTGAACTGTGGAAGCTCAGTGACTCCAGGTATCATCACACACTTTCATGCCTGATGGAGACAAACCTTTCAACTTTAATACATGACTGCAATGTCCATTTCTATGTAGATGATACAGTTTCATATGCCCCAGGCTCTGACTCATCTTTAGTCTGCCTCTGATTTTTTCCAGTGATCACAATGATCACTCTCACACATGCAAAAGCACATTGACAACAGACCCATCGGTCGGATGGGCTAAAAACAACAACATAAACCTATATATTTGCATATAAAGAGTGGAAATGAGATCCAATCACAAGTGATCACTCGTCCAGGTTCCTTGTTGATTGTGGTTATCATGTGTTATATTTGTTTGCTGACTGTCTGATTGTAAATGTGACCTGTTACCTCTCTTAACAAAGAGATTTCAGTCTCAGGGATGATCTGATCAAACTGTTCAGACAAGATTCAGGTGGCCCTAGTGAAAACTAAAGAGAAACCAGAAACTCAACATCAGTCTGACTGTAGTTTTTAAACGTTTCCTCCTGTACTGTGTTCAGGTGAACTGGTGTGGAATATTAATGTGAACAAGCTAACATTCAACATGAGTTTGTCCAACATCACTGACTGTTTGAGTTTTTAATGAGCTGAGGACTCACACGTGAACAGCCATAAATCATTATAACTATAGTCTGAGGGGAGGTTGGGGACATGATCATCACAGATACTGAGTTCAGTTTTCAAGTCACATGTCTTTGTGTTTTCTCCCATCAGAGCCAAGCCCACCACACAGTGGAATACAGTCGCCATGACAACAACAACAACAATAACAACAAGCTAAACTACAACTAAACTTCAGCCTTCAACCCTCTGTTGTCTTTGTTCCTTCGCTCATTTGTGATTGCTTGTCTATGTTTTTCAGACTCTGGTTGCTTTAGTGATAAAAATGCATAAGAAATCTATCTTTCACCAATCAACTGTTTGCTTCTCTGCAGTGATGCTGTGCTTTAACCAGTCTCACTCTTTGCTTGTCCGTCTGTCTTCAGTCTAATGCAGAAACATTAAAAAGCTGCTGATCTCAGATGTGCTCTTTGTGCACATGCAGTCCATCGTTTACTTTACAAACATTAATTACTGTTTTTAAAACAAAGATGTCAGAGACAAATGATTGTCTGTACACAGAGGAACTGCTAATAAAGTTTGAACTTTCCGAAACTCAGAGTTCAGATACAGAGTCTTTATTTTAGAGCTGAACAGCTTCAGCCTCACATATTTCAGATATTGCAGTGCTGTAAAATACAATTTTATCAGAACTGTTTTAATTCAAACCCTGTAGAAAGGGAATATGTCTGGTTCTTCTACAGAACACCGGAGAATATTTAAAACGAGACTGGAGACTCTTGACAGACCACTGCACAGCGAGGGTCATGTGGCCAGTGGGAACAGCTGAGATTGTTGGTACGCCAGCTCTCTGCTATGAAGGATTCTGTAGAAGAGGTGACAGTTTAACCCCACGTTTATCCAGGTCTCAGTTTATGTGTGTGTGTGTGTGTGTGTGTGTGTGTGTGTGTGTGTGTGTGTGTGTGTGTGTGTGTGTGTGTGTGTGTGTGTGTTTGTTCCAACTTAGACATATTTTATATCATTCCAGCTGTTTTACTATATTGTCTTTGTTCATCATCTGTTTATTCAGCAGCCTCCATTGAGGAGTTAGTTAGGAGGAGCTGTTAACGAAGACATTAGTAAACACTGAGATCTGATTACAGCTGTATTAATATATGTTAGAGACCATTTATTACACCTTTATAAACTGATTATACACATCAGTAAATTGGTTATTATGTCTTTATAAGCTGATCATACACATCAATAAACACATGATTACAGACACGTATATATACACATACACAGACATGGGTGAGAGTATGTTGAATCAAAAAAATCACATGAACAGATTTGACAAAAAGGAAGTGATGTCATGTGATCTATTGTGTTACATGTGTTTCTGTTAAACAGTCTTTCAAATTGTACAACACATTTTCAGTTTGTGTTCACCCCTTCTATTAAAATGCTTTTATTTTTTAGTTTGTGAACCTCCTTCCTTGCAAACATGCTTCAAATATTTGATGGAAGCAACGTTTTATGTGTTTTATACATTATTTGTGCTGTATTATAATCTTAATTGTAGGTCAGTGGATATTTATGGTTTTGTTTGCATTTTCCCATATTCCTGCAGCAGAGATAATGTATGGAACAATAAGTGATAAGCACTCGGGCAGTGGAATGTGTCCAGAACATGATTCGAATAAAAACTCATCAAACTCACAGTACGTGTGTAGTCTTTGAGAAAACACTGTTTTCTGAACAGATAAAAGTGGTCAGCTGGCGGTGAGACCTCCCGCAATGTATCAGTCTGTAATCGCATGATTATGTCTCTACTATAACACCTGACCAGAACAGGAAGCAACTTCAAGTACCACCTGATGAAGGTGAGGAAGCTGAAAATGTTGAATTCCAGCTACACAAAAGAACAATACTGGCGTAAAAAGCATCAGAAAACTACAATACATCAGATTCAGTTTGATTTTTAGTTTAATTATTAGTTCAGCGGCAGTGGTGGGTGGTGCTGCATGGTGTGACTTTACCTGGTATTAATGAGTTTCAAAGACACCACCTCCCTTTTCTGGAAAAAAGATAACACAGAGAACTGGTCAAACCAGATTCCTCAAAGTTCGAGTTTTCCAGTCACCTACAGCTCATCCTCATTCTTCTGCTCCAGCAATGTTGATTACGTTGTGTTCACACCTTGCAACATATTCATAACACTGCTCACAACACTGTTCACAACACTGTTCACAACACTGTCCACAACACTGTCAACAATATTGTTCACAACAATGTTCATAACAGTGTCCACAACACTGTTCACAACACTGTCCACAATATTGTTCACAACAATGTTCATAACAGTGTTCACAACACTGTTCACAATATTGTTCACAACACTGTTCACAACAATGTTCACAACAATGTTCATAACACTGTTCACAACAATGTTCACAACAATGTTCACAACACTGTTCACAACACTTTCCACAATATTGTTCACAACAATGTTCACAACAGTGTCCACAACACTGTTCACAACACTGTTCACAACACTGTTCACAACATTGTTCACAACACTGTTCACAACATTGTTCACAACAATGTTCATAACACTGTTCACAACATTGTTCACAACAATGTTCATAACAGTGTCCACAACATTGTTCACAACACTGTTCACAACACAACACTGTTCACAACACTGTTCACAACACTGTTCACAACATTGTTCACAACAATGTTCACAACAGTGTTCACAACACTGTTCACAACACTGTTCACAACACTGTTCACAACACTGTTCACAACACTGTTCACAACATTGTTCACAACAATGTTCATAACAGTGTCCACAACACTGTTCACAACACTGTTCACAACACTGTTCACAACACTGTTCACAACACTGTTCACAACACTGTTCACAACACTGTTCACAACACTGTTCACAACACTGTTCACAACACTGTTCACAACACTGTTCACAACACTGTTCACAACACTGTTCACAACACTGTTCACAACACTGTTCACAACACTGTTCACAACACTGTTCACAACACTGTTCACAACACTGTTCACAACAATGTTCACAACACTGTTCACAACATTGTTCACAACAATGTTCATAACAGTGTCCACAACATTGTTCACAACACTGTTCACAACACAACACTGTTCACAACATTGTTCACAACACTGTTCACAACACAACACTGTTCACAACACTGTTCACAACACTGTTCACAACACAACACTGTTCACAACACTGTTCACAACACTGTTCACAACACAACACTGTTCACAACACTGTTCACAACACTGTTCACAACAATGTTCAATGTATCTTTTTTCATCAGTTATTCATCATGCAGACCAACATTTTCACACCTGTGCTGCACCTGTTGGTAATGTATTTGTAATATATTCATGTAAAGGACTGTCAGGCCTCTGGCTGTGGACGTTCAGACCAGGGCAGATCACCTGAAGCAGATTACAGGTGTGTTGGAGGGTAAGGAGTCAGATTACCTGGTGCTGCAGGTTGGTGGTGTGGAAGACTGAGTCCAAAGATGGAGCAGATGAAGTTTCTCTGACATGATGAATGAAAACTGACCTGCAGGTCCTCAGAGGTTAACTGACTCACACACTCACACACACACACCAACAAAGAAGAAACAGAGACATAGGGAAGGGGGGCTACTTCCTGCCAGATAAACAGTGTTTGTTTCAAAAAGACTCCTTATTGGTTAATGGGGTCGTGACCGAGGCCAATGGTAGGGGGTAAATCAGTGGAGCCTGACACAACTGTAGTGTGTGTGTATGTGTGTGTGTGTGTGTGTGTGTGTGTGTGTGTGTGTGTGTGTGTGTGTGTGTGTGTGTGTGTGTGTGTGTGTGTTTGTGCACACGTAATTTGTGTGATGAAAAATAAAACCTTTATTTACCTTTACCTGAGACACACACACCTTATTAGTGATGGGAGACGTATTCAGATGTTGTTGTTCAGTAGCATCAGACAGCCATGGCCCTCATCTCTAGCTGTGTATGGCCCTCAGACACTTAAACGTTTCCCTGGATCTGCTCATAAATTACTTTGAGGTCTGTTAAAAACTCTTTATTATCTTCATTTATCTTCTATCTTCTATTATCTTCACTTCACAAGCTTATCCGCTGTTGTTTAAAAATACAACAGTGTGAGTCCTCTGGTTGGAGACTACACTGTAAACCCTCTCCACAGGTTTCATGAATATTTATTAGTATTTATTTAATGTCTGTGGAGTTTTTCCTCTGTGTTTCTGGAGTTTCTGGAGTCTCACTGGGTTCATGTTACCTGACTGTCCCACAGCTCTCGGTTACAGTCGGACATCAGGATCACAGGTCTAGGTGATCTCCAGTCATTCAGAACCAAGCTGGACCAGACTATACCTTAAAGTGCCCTTAATTCCTCTTCTGGACCTGATCCCAGAGTCAAGCTTGGCTCCAGCTTGGTTCTGGTTTCAGGATGTCCTGCTGCAGATGGATGCAGACTCATGTTCTGCCCTGATTCCCACAGAAAGCAGGAACTCACTTCAAAATAAAAGCAAAGAAGGTCACTGGCTGTTCTAGCATGTAAGACTGAAAGGACAATCTGATGTAAACAATCTGTTATACACAATCTGATGTGCACAGTCTGTTATCCAGACTTTCAGAGGTGTTGGTGGTTTTGATTCTAAAACACTGTGGTTCAGAAAAGATGGTGGTTTTGGTTCAATACTGAGAAAGTCAACATGTCCTGTCAGTATTTAATGCCCATCACTGTTTGGTGTCAGGAGGTGACAATGGAGAAAAAATAAAACATACTGACAGTGAGCATTTTGTGACCATGTTTGTTTAACTTCAGTCATTCTGTTGATAGAAATGTTTCGAGGTGGTTTTACATTTCTCTGATGTAAACCCTGGAGGAGGTGCAGACTGAGGATGATCTAGTAATAAACCTGTTGCTCCTTTTTACTTTGTCCACCAGGGGGAGTTGTTTATATTATTGATTTTACAATGACAGATTTGTTTTCTTTTGAGATAAGAAACAAATAATAATTAATGAGGCAGTACAATCACTGGCTCTTCTCCTGTAATAATATATGTTAAAATGCGATGAGAGGAGGAGGAGAAGAAGGAGGTGTAGGGAGAAGAAGAAGAGGAAGAGGAGGAAGAGGAAGAGATGGAGGTTCTGGGTGTAGTTCAGAGGAAAGCTGGCAGATCTGTGTCTCTGTAATGATGCCTCCTCTCTATACATCCTCTCGCTGACACAGTGTGAGAGAGTAAAGTTCACTGAGGTGAAGCAAACTTTTCTTTCTCATCATGAAACTGAATCAGCTTCAGGTTCGTTTCAGGTTGTCACTGTGGACTTCCTGCTGTTCGCTAATCTGTCGTGGGTGAGTCAATGTTGAGAGGTTCAAGAGTTGAACAGATTGTAAACATGAAGCATGACCGTGTATTTATTTCATTCATTGGTTCATATGTCAGTGTTGAGACAGAGAAATGACACAAAGTACAGATCAGATCAGCTGTCACTGCCATGTATATATCAATATCAATAATTGGTTTGTTGTCTATTGATATGTGCATGTTATACAACAT